CGTCGCGGGGAGACCCTCGGCACTGCCCTGGCCCTAGAATCCAAGGTTGAGCCACCTGCATGACAGAAGCTGATCCTGGAGCAGGGACCTGCACGCGGGGACTTTGCTGGGGTACAAGTGACAGCCTGGACCTCAGTGTGCTCCTGGCTCCAGTATAAGCCCAAGCCCAGCTGCCCCCCATCCCAAAGGGCTTTCCAGGATACCGTAGCACTCCCAGCTGTGGCTCCGCATTGTTTCCAAAGGGTTCTTCAGGAAAGCAAGCCTGTTATCCACAGGGTCAAACCTACTGGACTGGGGCTTGCTGGAGAATTGGATTTTAAAAAGAAAAGCTCTCGGCTTCCCTCTCGGAGCAGGGAGTCTCCCTCTAGCGCGCGCAGCCCGCTGTGCACAGCAGTGCCTCCTGCTCCGGCGGCATCCTGCGGCTCTGGGATTTACAGGGACATCTCCTCGCGGCTCCATGAGTGACCAGCCCGAGGAGACACCGATCGCAGCACACCGGGAGCTGCTGCCTGTCCTGGCCAGGATCCACCGTGGGCTCTTGCAGCCACCCGCTCGCTTCCCCCACCATCTCCACTAGACACCTCTTCTTAAAGGCCTGTCCCGACACGTCCACGTGTCAGAGTTGCCCCAAGCACCTCAGAACAGCCTCATTTCAACCCGAAGTGCCACCGTGCTTGCGGCAGGGCACTCTTTGGGGTGGCGCAGAGCGCAGCCCCCGGTGCTGCATCCAAGAGCAGGACCAGCGCTGCGTTACATTAAGATTGTGTTGTTTTTAATGCATACAGCTCTCAGCAGGTGGCACCAGCTAAGAAAACAGAGGCCCAGGGAGAGCAAGAGGGAGGAGGAATCGCAGCTTCAGCAGCAGAGCAAAGGCTTGACATGTCCCCAGCAGCAGCAGCAGGTTTGTGTGCCGCTCTGAGGCGTCTAATTGCCCTCGCAGGGAGCTGGTGGGAGCCCCTCGCACCGTGTCCTCGTTGCTGCTGCTCCAGCACCCCGCTCCTCATGTGCGATTTTGTGCATAAGTAGGAGAGAAATAGGTTAGTTTGGGGAATGCCCTGTGCTCCTTGCAGGCACCGGGAGCAGCTGGGGACTCTGCGTCTACAGCAGCAAGTTCACAGTTGTTGTTGCACAAGTCCTTCGCAAAACCTGACTTCCACCCCTGCAAACGGCAAAAGAGCACAGGAAAAACAGGTTAAGACGTGAGCTGTGCCTTTCCTTAGGACATGCCTTCCCTTTAAAGGCAACACAGGCACTGGTGTCTGGGCTGACCAGAGGCAGTGACATTGGCATGAGCCACCAGCTCCAGCTGTTTCAGGCTGGCCAGCTGTGCAACTCAATGACAGAGGCCAGGGTGATGCTGCAGCCCTGCGATGCTCCTCATGCCGAGGGACGGAGACCTGCGTGCCCTCCCGCGAGCTTCTTTGGCAGCCCAGCTTCACCGTGACTCATCTTGGCACCTTTGTGTCTGCGTGGTGAGAGCCCAGCTCTGCGTCAGCTCCGTCCCCTGCACGGAAGCATCAGATGGACCCTGGTAGGTGGCTGTTCCTCCCTCCCCGAGGAGCGGAGCTGGTGGCAGGCCCTCGTGCTGCAGAGCTCTAGGCAGGCTGAGCCCCAGCCCGTGCAGCTCAGGACACGGGTGCGATGCTGCACAGGGAGCAGTGCGGAGAGCAGAGGGAGGGCTTGGTGCTGGTGAGCACAGGGGTGGCCTTTGCTCTGCTGTGCCTTGCGCAGGGGGGCACGGAGCGATGGGGGCTGCTCTGCCGGCCACGAGGGCTCCATCAGCGCCAGCTCGCGCAGCCCTCGGGCAGGCTCTGCAGAATGGCCTCCAGGTTCTGCTTGTCGGCCCGGATCTCGGCCAGGTCGCTCTCGAACGCCTGGATCTTCTCGCGCTGCCGCTC